TCCCCTGTCTGTTGTTTCGAAGAGGCCGTCGTCGTGTTGCTTGGTCTCGTTTCCTTGCTGTTTTTGCAGGGGCCCTCCTCGGGCTTCTCGGTGTTGTTTCCTTACTGCATTCCTCCGGTTTCCTAGCACTTCTAAGCAATGCCACGCAATGCCAAGCAATGCCAAGCGTCGCCAAGCAACGCCAAGCAATGCCAAGTAATGCCAAGCAATGACAAATCACGCATAGCAAAACCTAGCAAGGCCCCCCAAACGCCAAGCAAGTCATTGCCACGCAATGCCTATGAAGCAATGCTAAGCAATCCTGCTTAGGAAGCGTTGCCCTATGTGGGGTCGCGCCAGATCCATTCTACTCGGAACCTTTACGTATGTTGTTCAGTGTGGTGTTTCCGCTGCAGTGTCTGCCCAATTCTGGGATCGGCGTTGTGATCCCGTTGCTCAGACTGGCGCTCTCGCCCAAGCGCAGACCATACTCCAGGGTACAGCTCCTTCCTCGTTGTTGTCGCCCCCCTCCGTTCCCCCCCCTCCGCTTTCCTCTTGCCATCCTGCCCTTCCCTTCCTCTTGCCATCCTACCCTGCTGCTGCTGCTGCTCATCCTCCTTCCTCGTCCTCCTCCTCTTCCTCCTGCTCGTCGGCCACCACTTCTTCTGTCCGTAGCCATTTTGGCTCAAGCCCGTATGGGCTCGAGGAATCTTCCGATGGTTCCGCGTCCAGCTGCCAGCGGCAGCCGTATGGACTCGATCGCCCGGCTCGCGAGGCGGAAGTGTCAGGGCGATAAGAAAAGCGGTCTCCGATGGGCTTCTTTGGCGTTTACCGATGCTGGCCAAGAAGCAGGCTTCGTCAAGGCTCGCAACCCTAGATTGATACAGAATATGCGCATCTGTTGTCTGGTCACTGGAGTTGGCTTAACCGCCGAGCTGATCATGTTCAAAGTGTGGGATTTGAGCCCCGACCGTTACAAGTCGGAGGAACAAATGAAGATCAACCAGCAATCCAACCTTAGCTTTACCATGTTGTGGGTCTACAACATGGTAGTTTCGACATCCACGCTTTCTTGCTTCACCCGAAGAATCCCGCCGCCTGTGCCAGAGATAATTTCACGCTGTCCATCTCCGTGGGCATGGTGGCCTTTGTGCTGGCCACGCCACACTATGCTGGCCGTCTGTTGGGCCTCGACACGAAGACGCATCTGGAGCCCCGGCAGCTCACCGACACGTTTGTCGTCCTCGGGCTGGACGCGTTGGTCACCTCGACGCACATCGTGCTCCCCATCCGCTACCATCTCATGCTGTGCGTGCAGGTGTGCAGCATCTTCTGTTACGCGATACCGGCCATGGTCCTCGGCAGCGCCCACCCAGGGAACTTCCCGCACACGATGGTGGCTTTCTCGATGCTGATATTCGTGACCGCCCTCGGGAAGCGCAGCCTGGACAGGGAGGAGAGGATACACTACCTGGCGCTGATCCGGGAGAAGTGCTTGAGATTCGAGTCGGAGTTCCAGCTGGCCACGTACAAGGACAAGCACAAGGCACAGAAGATGAAGCAGAAAGCGCCCGACGACGCGGAGTCGGATAACCAGTCGATGTCTGCGACGTCCTTCGGGAATGGCAGCTCAAGGCTAACCTTCAAAGCGCTCGTCGAGCTGGGATTGAGGGAGCAGTGGCTCATCGATGAGCAGGAGGTGCAGCTGCCTAGCGCAAGTAACGCACGACCACTGGGCGAAGGGGGCTTCGGCATCGTGGTGCGGGGCCGGTACCATGGAGCCAATGTCGCACTCAAGGCGCCCAAGACAATCTTGCAGGGCAGAACGCAAGAAGTCTTCCTTGAAGCATCCTGCAACGAACTGAGGATGTTGAGACGCCTGCGGCACCCCAACATCGTTGCGCTGTACGGGGCGGTGTTGACTTCTGGAGTCGAGGGCGTCCAGGTGTGCCTTGTCCTTGAGCTGATCGAGGGGGAATCCCTCAAGATGCTCATGACGCGCATCGTGGAGAGGGAGGAGCTTGCGCACCCCAGCTTTGTCGCGCTGCGCATCAGAGTCCTGAGGCACGTTGCTGCGGCGCTGTGCTACCTCCACTCGCGACAGCCAGTCGTCGTGCACGGCGACATCAAGAACACCAACATCTTCGTGCAGCAGCTGGGCGATTGCTCGATGCAGGCAAAGCTCCTCGACTTCGGCCTCTCCCGCCTCGTCAAGGGCAGGGGAGGCGACCGCCCCATGGGCGGCACCCTGCGGTGGGCGGCGCCCGAGGTCCTGCCGGGCCGCCACGCCCCGGCGGCCGCGACGGACATGTTCTCGTTCGGCCGCCTCGTCTTCTACGTCTCCAGCGGCCATGTTCAGGAGGGGAAAAAACACACAGACACAATTAATCGTCGATTCCCCAGAAAATATGGGAAAATATGGGAAGTGGGGGGGAAGACAGAAACCCAGAAAATATGGGAAAATATGGGGAATCCTTTTATTTGTGTGTATTTATTTGTGTGTCCTGGGGCCCCTTCTCATCTACGTCTCCAGCGGCCATGTGCCCTTCTCGGGGGTGGCGGACAGGCAGCTGCGCAAGTTCCTGCTCCGCTCCCCCCCCGTGCGCTGGCCGCCGGCCTTCGAGGCGGGCCTCCTGAGCCGCTGCCGGCCCCTCGCGGAGGAGTGCCACGCGCCCGAGGCCCGAGCTCCGCCCCGGCGTCAAGGAGGTCTTCCCGATCCTCCTGGGCATGGAGAGTCAGACCGCCCCGGCCAGGCCCTCGGGCGGCTCCTCCGGCGAGGAGTCGGCACCGACGCCGCCACAGGGGCACGCGCCGCCGGTCTTCGGCGTCTTCGCCTTCGAGTCGGAGCACGCGTTCTCTTCCATGACCATGAGGAGCACCCCCTCCACGCAGCTCGCCGCGGTGCCCGAATCCGCCGTCGTGATTCCCTCCAGCCCCGCGGACACGGGGCTGGTACAGGGCGAGCGGCTGGTTCACAGCTCGTACCTCCCCACCCCCCATGAGACGTTGCTGAAGGCTGTCGGCTTCGTGCTGATGCAGTCCAACCACGGCGTCGACGCCAGCGAGGGGTGCTGCTGGATGCACGCTGGTCTTCGGAGGCTGAGGATAGTATGCAGTGAGATGCAGGAGATGCCGTGCGACGGCTGGGACGTGCCCGTCAGTGGCCAGTGCAAAGATTGTCGACTCCTGTGCATCGACGGTGGTGCAAAGATGGGTGCCTGCAACTTTTGCGGGGGGGGCATATCAGATCCCCTGACTGCCGAGGCTCGCCCTTTGGACTTGCATCGGAACTAAAGTGAGCAGCCCTCGGTGCCCAGGCGACATGTTGAGCGCCCATCGTCTTGCGTTCACAATGGGCGACGAAGTTCGAGCATTGCGAGTTTGTCTGCAGCTGAGACTTCGTGGACCACACACCCGTCCAGTTCTTTTAACACGCTGGTGGCCATGCGCTGGTCAGCTGTCTCGGTTGACCTGTCTGTACAGAGCCGTTTCATGCATCCAGTTATTGTGACCTTGCGCAGCCTGGCCAGGGTGACGAGTGCTGCTGTTTTCTTTCGTCGAAGTCAGGCAAGAAAGCCAGCCTCCTCAATTGGTGGCCATGGGGCCGTTCTCTGCATCACGACGATGTGACGCATCGCTTGCCACACCAGAGGCCCCCCTTTGTCTGGGCCTCCAGTGCCACTTCACACGATTTCTTCATAGGGCATGGAGTGCATGAACAAATCATCCGTTGTCGTGTTTCGAGCGTCGCTCTGTGTTACAATTGCGTCAGCAGGGCGTTTCTGATCTGTTTTCGGACATCTCTTGTGGCAGCTGTTACGTCTGCTGAGACCTGTCCCATTCCTTAGGTGCGCATGGGACATGGTGCAGCCCAGTGCTAGTTTTGGAGTTCAGCGCAACCTCCTTGCGCGCCAATGCCCTCCAGCCCATACATCATCTTCCTTTCCCTGGTCTCTCCTCCCCTGCTCGCTCACCGATCGCTTTTCCTCAGTGAGCCGCAGGCACCGACTGGGTGCCCTACGTCAGGGCCTCACGGCAACCATCACTCCGAAGACGCGCGCGCACGGGGAGAGGACGCGGCACGGCTGTGTGACTGAGCTGGCAGGCGGCCACCCTAGCGTCAGCCGAGGCGGTGTTGTCCCCCGACGCGGTCTCCGTTCTGAAAGTTGCCGCAGGCCGCTGTCCTCTTCTGCCGTCTCATGGTACGGCGGTGGCAGCGGTAAGCGCTTGCGGCCTCGCCCCTGGCATTGGCCACAGGTCGCCGCGAATGGCACAGACTGGTGCTGATCGGTGCAGAGTCTGCGATGGATTTCTGAGGGCGTCTGAACGTCAGGGCCCGGCTGACTTTCCGAGCACGACACGTCTTGCACCGTTGCCTTCTTGGCGATTCCACCCAGGCTATACAGGGTGTTAGGCGCAGGCGACCCTTGCTCTGCTGCATCCTGCAATATGGCGGTCCTGTCGATGTCTCCGAGAAGGCTCGGAAAAAAAAGGCCACCACTTCTTCATCCTCCTCCTCCAGTGTGCACAGCGCCCTTCTCCCGAGTGCGCCTCACACGATGGGGTCATCCGGTGGATCCACCTCCGCCGGGACACCCGCCCGCGGATGGAGACCACTCCGCGCAGGAGGGAGGTTACGGGTGGGGAGGCATCGAAGGTCAGACCTGGCGCGCGCGCGCGCCCCTGGCTTGCCCTCTCGCGCTTCCTCTCGCTCCCCTCTTCCACTCGCTCCTCCTCTTCCTCTCCCTCCTCCTCTCTCCTCCCTCCTCCCTCCTCCTCCTCCCTCCTCCCTCCTCCTCCTCCTCCTTCTCCTCCTCCTCCTCCTCCTCCTGCTCCCCTCCTCCTCTCCCCCTCCTCCTCTCCCTCTCCTCTCTCCCTCTCCTCCTCTCCCCCTCCTCCTCCCGCTCCCCTCCTCCTCTCCTCCCGCTCCCCTCCTCCTCCTCCTCCCTCCTCCTCTCCCCCTCTTCCTCTCCCTCTCCTGCTTCGGGCGCCGAGAGCCGCACGCATATAACACCGGCCCTGGGCCCAGGATGGGCCCGGGGCATCTGCCGGCGTCGAGGGCCACATCTGGCGCGATGGGCCCAGAGCAACCGCAGCGGGAGGGGCACCCTCATGCTTCGGGGGCGGAAAAGAGGGGGGTGATGACTAGGGGGGGCGGGATATCATGGCGTGGGCCATGATATTTCCCCAGATTTCATGGCGCCTCTTCTTATCTCATTACGTCCCTGGCACCCCCGCTGGGCCGCGCACATGCCGCCGGTCATGATTTGCATCCCCCCCTCTTGGACACCCCCTCTTGGCCGCTCCCGAATGCTATTCGTCCCTGGGTGGGGCCTCCAACTTTGATCGGGGACACGGAAGGCTCGGGCATGCCGCGACTCGGGTTTGCCGACGTTTTTGCTGTCGAGCGCGTTCTCGATGTTGACGGTCCAGTTTTCGTGGGATGTCTGCAGCGGGAGCTCGCGTCAAATTTCAGATTGGGTCTCCTCATTTTCATGGTGGCCCCGAGCCCCCCGAAACCGAGTCTGACGTCTCCCCGATTTGAGCGATGCTCGTTTCGTCAGGTGCCTCTCCGTGGATCCGTGTGCCCTCGGTGGAGGGGCTCCTGCTCTTGAGGAGGAGGAGTAGGAGGAGGAGGAGGACGAGAAGGAGGAGGAAGAGTAGGCGGAGGCGGAGGCGGAGGCCCGCGGCGAAGGAGGAAGAGGAGAAGGAGGAGGCATAATGGGAGGAGGAGGAGGAGGAGGAGGAGGAGGAGGAGGTGGAGGAAGAGGAGGAGGAGGAGGAGGAGGAGGAGGAGGCGGAGGCAGGTGGAGGCGGAGGCGGAAGCGGAGGAGGAGGCGGAGAAGGAGGAGGAGGAGGAGGATGCAACGGATGCGAAGGCGGAGGCGGAGGAGGAGGAAGATGAGGAGGAAGATGAGGAGGAGGAGGTGGAGGAGGAGGAGGCGGAGGAAGAGGAGGAGGAGGAGGATGAGGCGAAGGAGAACCAGTGTAAACTCAAGAGTCATCAACGATGCTGGAATGCACCGTCCCTCCAAGCTCCCTCTTTGTAGGCCCCTGCAACGGGTCAGTTCCATTGAGGGAATTCCCTCGTTTGAAGACAACCGTATGACGACCCTGAAGCATGTCAAAACATTGTGCTCGGGATTCCAACGCCGCGGATCAACCTGACGGCTGCGTCTTGGGATCCTGATTCGTCCAGAACGCCAATCCTGGGACGTCAACACCACAAATCTATGTAACTGTTGCACCCCCCATAATCCTGAATCCGTCCAACAAACCATTACTTGTACGTTGATCACGGGATTCCGTGAATCTCTTGAACATGTAAAACAACGGATGTGCGCGGCGCTGAAGCGAAGCCACATTTTGAAAAGGAACCGCCCTCAATTCGCGCAATTATTGCAAATGCTTGAATCGAGCGCATGCGGCGCCAAGGCGATAGCCACATCTCGAAAACGGCCCGCCCTCAGTCCGTGAAACTCTTGCACATGATTAACACGTATCTGTTCGTCGCTAAGGCGGGAGCCACATTTTGAAAACGGCCCGCCCTCCATCTGTGACCAATGTGTGAGCTCCAGAGTCATGAATGGTGACGAAGTCTTAGGCGGCCCGCCCGGCCCGCCCTAAAGACTCTCGGGGGCGCGACAGAGAGAAGTTATTTGTTATGCGGAACAGGAATGGAGGAAGAGGAGGGGTAGGAGGAGGAGGAGGAGGAGGAGGAGGAGGAGGAGGAGGAGGAGGAGGAGAGGAGGAATGAGGAGGGAGATGAGGAGGAATAGAGAAGGAGGAGTAGGAGAGGATAGGAGGAGAAGGAGACGAGGAGGATGAGGAGGACGAGGGAAGGAGGAGGAGAGAGGGAGAAAAGAGGCGGAGGAGGAGGAGATGCGAGGAGGAGGAGAGAAAGGAGTAGGAGGAGAAGAGGACGAGTAGGAATGGAGGGAGGGGGAAGGGAGAAGAAATGGGGCGCGGAGGGGGGAGAGGATGAGGAGGGGGGGAGTAGGAGAGGGGAGGTGCGGGGAGAGTGGTGCAGTGCTTATTGTGACAGACATACCGAGGGGTCCAAGCAGGCCCCGTCAAAGGGCGCCGCGCCCCCCGGCGTGCCCGCAGAGCCCCCCGCATGAGGCACTGCGCCGGCGGGCGGGGCTGCACCCCTGCCCGGCGCGGCCGCGGCGCTGGGGCTGTACGGGCGGCCCCCGGGCGCGCCGGGCACGGTGCTGCCGCCCGCCGGGGCCTCGGCGGCCTGGCCCCCCTCGCGCGGAGCCCTTTTTGCGTCGGGGGGTGCTCCGCCTCAGAGGGCGTGGTCGGGCGTCTGGGCGGGGGGGGGGGGCTTCTCGATCCTCCTCCTCCTCCTCCTCGATGCGCGCTCCTCCTCCTCCTTGCTCCTCCTCCCTACACTCCCTGCTGCTACCTCCTCGATCCTCCTCCTCCTCCTCCTCCTCCTCCTTCTCCTCCTCCTCCTCCTCCTCCTCCTCCTCCTCCTCGATGCTTCTCTTCCCCCTCGCTCCTCTCTCCTTCCTCCTCGGTTCGCCTCCTCCATCCTCGAGGCGAGGAGCAGCGGGGTAGTGGGGGGCGACGATGACGATGACGATGACGATGACGATGACGATGACGATGACGATCATCGGCATTGTCATCGTCATCGGGTGGGAGAGAAGTATGCATTTTTCGAGCCCTGCAGGCCTGAAGGGCCCCTCCTCGGGCCCTAAAGGCCCCTTTTCTGCAGCCCTCGCTGCCCCCCCATCTGTCGCCCCCCTTTAAGATGGGCCTTCTAGATGGGTCGGAGGATCGCGCCGCATCGCCGATGCATCGCCGATGCGGCTCGATGTGGAGCCCGATTTTCTCCACGCAGGCGTCGCCGATGTACCGCCGATGTCGCCCATGCATCGAGGATGCATTGGCGATGCGACGCGATCCTCCGACCCCATCTAGTCGGACCCCATCAGGCAGGCCTCTCGCTGTGGGGGGGGGGGGGGGGCAGGCCCCAGACGAAGCAACAAAAATCACCGCGGGAGGTGTCTCGCCAGTTTCGGCATTTGGGGGCCCTTGCCGGGCCCCAGGGCCGTCGAAGAACGATTCAGGATGAGGAGCCAATCTTGGGGATTGGGTCGAGCCCTCTTGGGGTCGACGTTACGAAACAAATCATACCGTCGGGGGTTTTGGGCCGGGCCAGCTTGGACCGTCCTGCGGCCCTCTTGGGAGCCCCTTGGGCCGTCTTGGAGCGATCTCGACTGCCTCTTGAGCCCTCTCGGCCAGCTGGACGCTCGAGAATGCGAAGACGCTAAACACGCTCAACAACAAGGGAAAGTCGGGGGACAGCATTGTTTAACCGACCCCTATCCTTAAATCGGGCACGTCCCTCTACAGGAGGAAGATTCAAACATAGTACCAAAAAATAGTCAGGGGACGATTTCTGACTATTTCTGATTATCTTCGAATCTTTGGACTATTTTCATTTTTTCGTCCAAAATCCGACTGTCGGAGGACATGCCCCACCTCACCCTACCCCCATCTCGAAGCCTGGAGGCAACGGCTTACATCCACAGCGAGGGGGATTCTTTGGCCCGTGGGTAATGAACAAATCATGCCGGGACGCTTTTTGCTATTTTCGGCCTCTGGGGGCCCTTACTGGCCCTCGGGACCGTCAACGAACCGACTCAGGATGAAACCCGTCCAGGGGAATGGTTCGAGACCTTCAGGGGTCGACGTAGTGAACAAATCATGACGTCGGGGGTCTGGGTTAGCCGCCTTCCTGTACTTCAAGAGTCGAGCGGCTCTCCCTCTTCCCTCCTCTCCAGGGGGGCGGGCGGAAAAGCCCCATCTGCTTCCGACGCCTTCCTGCTCTTCATCTTTCGATCCCGACCTCTTCCGGCCGATGGGCAACGTTGGGGCATCGGCTCTGGGGGCCCGCATCGACCCCCACCGTGGTCGGCGGCTCGTGGAGGTTCCTGAGATCCTGGCGAGGAGGAGGAGGAGGAGGAGGAGGAGGAGGAGGAGGAGGAGGAGGAGGAGGAGGAAGGAGGAGGAGGAGGAGGAGGAGGGGGAGGGAGCGGAGGAGAGGAGGGAGGAGAAGAATAGGAGGAGGAGGAGGAGGGGGAGGAGGAGGAGGAGGAGGGGAGGAGGAAGGAGGAAGGAGGAGGAGAAGGAGGTGGAGGAGGAGGAGGAGGAAAAGGAGGAGGCGCTGAGTGGGCCCCGACAGCCCCACCCCGCTCAAGAGCGTGCGGGCCTGCAGTCGGGGGCCGACGTCACTCAGAGCCAGCTGCTGCGGTGGGCGGCTCGGGGGAGCGCGCCTCTGCTGGCGCCGAGCCCGGGGCCCCCTGGAGGGGCCCCGACTCTCGTGTGCTCCCCGCTCTCGCGCCCGCGAGCCGCGCCGACGTGGAGAGTTTCTGCCCGCGCGGGCGTGCTTGGCCTCGCGTCTCTGGACCCCAGGGCGGGGGGCGATCCACAGCACCGGGCCACCCGGGATGGGGCCTCGGCGTGGGGTCAG